TCAATCCGTTGGTGCTGATACAACTTCCCAAGTAGGTGAAGTGGTCAACATGTTCTATCACTTCACTCCCTATCACTAAGCTAGGAGTTGACGTAGTCCAGTCCTGTAGCAGCATCTTACATTTTACAGGGGCGAATCGCATGCCAAACATACGAAGATTGCTGCTCAAGGTGTTCAGAAGACTCTGCATTTTGTCAGCGTCCTCCCCTAACAGGACTATGTCGTCTGCGTATTCTAAGTCTATAAGACTATTCCCTGGTAACAAGTTGATTCCTAAGTCGTTAAGTTCAGTTAAGGATACTTCCATTAGCATATCTATGATGAAGTTAAACAGAAAAGGGGAAAGTGGACATCCTTGACGGACACCACTGGTTGTTATCAATTCAGATGACAATTCCCCATAAGCCCTTACACAGCTACGTGAGTTTGAGTAGAGTGCCTTGATTAATGCAATGTACTTTCTTGGCACTCCCTTCATAGTCAAACATTGCCATAGAACCTCTCGATCCACGGAGTCGAAGGCCACCTTCAAGTCAAGAAATATGGCAATTGTCGGACGCCTAAAAGTGTGTCTATGTTCTAGGATCTGTCGGAGAGTGAAGATATGATCTATGCACCCTCTACCTGGCCTAAAGCCCGCTTGATTTTCCCTTGTTTGTTCCTCCCGAGTTCGGCTTAGTCTGTTCATGATTACTGAGCCTAGGATTTTAGAGACTATGTTCGTTAGGCTGATTCCTCTATGATTATCACATGAGGACTTGTCTCCCTTCTTGAATACTGGTATGATAAGTGACTTACCCCAGTCTGATGGAACCGTCTCTGATTCCCAGACGTTACCTAGTACCTTAGTTAAACTATATACTAGTATGTAACCCCCATATTTAAACGCCTCCGGAATAATTCCGTCGGGTCCTGCCACTTTGCCTCGTTTCAAATTACAGATAGCTTTGGTGACCTCACTTACAGACGGCGGGCCAGTGTCTATATCCCATTCGGGTGTGTGCTGGATGGTGGGGAGGCTCAGTGTGGCTGTAGGCAAGTTAAATTGTTCCTCGAAGTGTTCTTTCCAGCGTTCGAGGCGTCTATCCTGAGAGCTAATTAAGGAGCCATTTTTCTCACAAATAGTCTCACTTATGATTTGCCTTCTCCCACCCGTTTCCCTGATGAGTCTAAAGAGTTGCCTAGTGTTGCCTATCGCCGATGCTTTTTCCATCTCTTTCGCCTTTGTCAACCACCACTGTCCACTGTCCTTGCGGAGACTTTTCGTGAGTTTCCTTTTGTGCAGCTTTCGCTCCTCATTGAATTCGGAGCTCGCCGGAATAAGTCTTCTAGCATCTATCAGTTCGGATGAGGCAGTCGAAATCCAATGGTTTTTACTCACCTTTGGATTTACCTTATTCACAGCTTTTACAGCTGTATCTATGGCTGATTGAATATTCTTCCAGGTTTCTTCAGGGTGAGCGCAGCTGTCGAACTCAGATATGTGTTTAGCTAGTTCTTCCTCAAATAGGGACTTAGTTTCCTGATCGAGCTGGGGACGTGATGGGTTTACCGCCAGCTGTTTCCTACATCCGTTCAGTCGTAAGCACACACGAGCGCGGACCAGTGCGTGATCGGTATCTACATACGTGTTCCAGAAGGAATGACAATCCCCTACCGACCCACGCTAACGATAGCTTATTGCTATGTGGTCTATTTGTGTCCAGCGTTGGTTTGATGATGGAGGTCGTCAGGTCAAACAGTGTCTCTCCTTGTGTTTGAAGTTAGTGCTTACAAGAAACAAGTGATTATCTGAACAGAACTGTAGGAGACTGTCACCGTTGTCGGTTCGCTGGCACGGAATTCCATATGTGCCACCGACATTCTTCTCAGATTGGCACAATTTCCCTACTTGGGCATTAAAGTCACCAGCTAAAACGACTATATCTGAGCGTTTAGCCTTTCGCAGCAAACTAGACAGCTTTTGGTAGAACTCATCCTTCGTTTCATCCGAACTGCAGTCAGTGGGGGCGTAGGCGGAGATTACGAAAAGGCATCGGCGAGTAGTGCAGTCCTTTCTCCTTTTCACTGATGCGTTCAGACGGACAGCACACATTCGGCTATCTACCGGGATCCAGTCAAGTAATGTCTTTTCTGCCCTAGTACTCAAAGCTATCCCAACACCAGCTAATCCTCGTGATCTAGCCGTCGCATCTCCTGACACCCTCAAGGTGAATTTTGCAGATTCATCCTGTTGGCCAGGTGGGGTTAGGTGAATAACCACACTTGGGTCTTGTATGCGTGTTTCTGAAACACAACATACATCAATGGCTCGGGATGCCAGAGTCTTGGCTAGTGATGCCTGTTGTCCTATTTGGCAAAGTGTCCTAACATTAAATGCCCCTATATGAAATTGGTGACGTGGCTTTAGGAGACTATCGATGGTGGTTTTTTGGCTGAAGACATTTGGCATGAGATTGGGAGACTCTGTAGGCCGCTTTGAGGTAGTCTCACGAAGCAGCTAGATAACCAGAGCTGACAATGTGCTCAGAAATCAGATCCCTGATATTCGTTTTGTTAACGAAATGATATTCTCGACCCACACCTATCAAACTAACACTGCATATGGCCAATGTAATTAGCTTCAAAGAAGGAGGTAAACTGATAAGTGCGAACTGATGTGTGAAGCTGTATTCTGTTTTTAATTGGCCGACCGACAAATTGTCTGCTGTAGGGAGTTGTCTCCAGGACAACCGCATGAACCGTTTTCCTCGTGGGTTTGAAAAGGTGTTTTATGAGTATTTCAGTTACGATTTTCTTATTGAACTCCAGACTCTTGAAGAGGGTTTAATTCTGGATGACTAAGACCACTTGTGCTTGTAAATTTTTCCCATTTTACATTCGATAAAGCTAGGTGAATATTCGTTTTCTGAAAAGGTGTCGGATATACATTTCAGTTTACTTTCTAGTGGATTTCTAAACAATCTTTCGAATTTTCGAAAATAAGGAACATATTGTTGTAAGAAAATAAACTTCTTAGTGTGTGTTTTCGCCAATATTGAACGCTGCATACAACCATTTGGTAGTAGTATTTTCTACATCTCTGACACTGGCGTGGCGTCACTGCTATTACACATGATATTTAAAACCCTATGTAGGATTCTTAATAGAGCAAGAATTAAGGCAGCATCCAGATAAACAAACTGATCTGGTGACATGTTCAGGGGGCTGGAAAATGCTACTGACTCAATTAGATAAAATTATTTAATCTACAGAACATATTACAACGACGTAGTCGTATATGAACTATATGGTCTTAGTTAAACCGATCCTTGCAGATAAAGAAATGCCTAGAAAGTGATTTTGTCTTTGGAACACACTGATATCTTTTACTTATTTGATGAAATAGAAGGTATCTCTAATACTGTATCTTCCCTTATATCACCTAGCCATCCGCCAGTCTGGCGATATGGAGAGTTTACTATATTTATAATGGGTTAAAATCGGACATCCTTTTCCGTCAGTTCACACAATGTAGGAATACTTGAGTCATATGGTTTTATTTATTCAAAAACTTCTGAAGTTATTGTTGGTTCACCTTTTGTTTTCTTCATTAGTTTTGTGGTAAGATTCAGTTCTTTCACTTATCCTTCTGTGTGAGTAATTTGTAAATTTGGTCTTTTCTGACTGTGAGTTTGTCAGTCTATTGATTTAGTCAGATGTGTTCATATAATAAAATTGTTAAGGCCTCTTACGGACTCTATTTCCCTGGAGTTGTTTGAGGTGCTTACTGTGTTTTCTTTGAAGAGACAATAATGACATTATGGTGTATTATGTGTTTCTGGTAACTATTTAGGACTGAAGCTTCTAATTGCTCAAGAAAGCTTTCGAATCCCGTGTCAAAGTGTGTCTAACAGGTGAGAATCTCAAGCTGAATTTCAATCAGGAGTTCATCCATTATTCGGTCCACTTTGAAGAATTACCTGCCGTGAATGTAAATAGGCTTCTTAGGAAATGATCACGGAACTGCAGACGGTTTTAGACTTTTCGTGACCTTTGAGCTGTCGAAAAGAAAATTTTCATCACTGTGTTATTGTCATCTACAGTATTCAGCTAAGAACGACCCATCAGAGTTAGATAACCTTGAGTAGAACAGGTGAAAGACACGTTTAAATTTATTACAAGTAAAAAAAATATATTTTCGACATCCTAAGTATAAAATGCTGTATTCTATAAACTTTGTGAATAACAAGGTTGTTTCCATTGGAAATAACCATAATCTTGAAAGACAATTAAAACCAAGAAGCTCTGAACAGCGGTTTCGTGCTAGTTTGCGATCGTTCTATCATTCAAACCAACAGCCTATTGAAAGACCAAAATTGAAATGAGCAAGTTGCCGTTCACCCATCAATTAGGAATTCCGTGGCCCATAGTTTAATCATTTTGTTATTCGTGGTAACATTAACTTATAGTTTTTGAACTAATTTTAATTTTTAAGGTTAATTTTCCATTTCTCATTGGATCGAAATGCTCGGTGTCTGTTGACACAATGGATCCTATTACAGACGCTTCGGCGCTATGTAAGGATTGACGTGGAGTTACTTTGGTTGGTGGTGACTAGCGATGGAACCAGAATGCTCATTTCTTTCTATTTTGGCGCGGGGTTCCTGTCTTAATGGGGACACAATTACTCACTTGGAATGCAGATACATCCAGCTGACAAGTCCCAAGTAGGATGAAATGTGCATCATGAATTCCACTGTTAGTCACCACCAAACAACATACTTTTGAGTTCACCTATTCTGTGGTTCTTCTAAAGTTACTCTGATAATTTAACAAGACATTACTTAGTTTAAATATTCACTTTTTATGAGAGTTGTTAGTTACTTCATATTATAAAATTTCACATAGTACATTATTGCATTAAAAATTACAACTAATAAAAAGCACTACTTAACTGCCATTCTCATCTAATCGTATTTAAAACTTCTGTCTTTTATTCATAACTTTGCTTAACATAGGTGTGATTCCACTTGCTGAATGGTGCAACATAATGTCTTCAGTAACACAGTTAAAGCTTTCATGGCGTTGTCTACGTTCTTTTCTGGTAAAACAATCTGCTAACTGTGTTAACAAAGTTATTTACAAATCCATGTTTGCAGGCAACTGTGTTGCACATCCTGAACTTTCGGTAAGATTTTTAATTTGCCTTATAATAAGGCTTTGATAATTTGAATTAAAGAAACATTTTTAAATGTATTTTTATTATTCACTCAGTGCATCGCATCTTGAAGGTAGTGTGGAACCGAGGTTTCAATGCCATTCGATCCTCTAAGATTCATATTTCTAAGAATATGTTCAATAAAGTCTTTAAAATGTACTTTTTTTGCATATACATGCAAACTGAAAATTACACTTGGGGATACTTATTTGTCTTCTCTAGTTCTCAGCACTCTGTAGAGTAACTTAAAAATTTCACGCTGATAAGTAAAGTTTTTAATCTATGTTTGGCGCTGTCTGTGGTCTGGACATATTTAAAACTAATCTGTTGTACATAGCTATTTTCGCAGTTCCGTTCAGTTCAGCTATTATGACGAAAGTACTTCTTGACTTTTGCATATTCTTCTGGTTTTTCTGTCGACTGTAATACCCTGAATGTGTGGTACAGTAGTATCACAAGACTTGGTTAATAGCTTAGTGGTAGTAAACTGTAGAGGCTAAGATTTGTTCACTTCTAGTTTCTTTTCAGCAACTGATTTCCTTGCACGTTTTCTCATTACACTGCATGACATTTAACTCCTGGAAGTGAACGAAGTCTTTGTTCCCCTTAGTCTATTGTGAATTCTGTGTTGTGTGCGAAATTAAACTCTGGAACGGAGTACTTGCTGACTTATGCTGTTAAACACATGGAATTCATTACCTGCCATGAATTGCACAGAATGATTTCTCTTGCAGTGACGAAACTAAGCTAACTTTTCATTCTCAGTGTTAATATATATGATTAACTCCTCATGTCCATATAATCTGTTTGACGGTACAGTTTGTTATTAGACGGAAATTAAACATTTGTGGTAAAAGACATCAGGAACCACTTCAGCTGTGTTTACCAAAAGCATTTCCAACAGGCTGCAGAATTTATTCAGCAGCTGTCTTCTCTTCATACTGAAGATCAGATGGCCAGAAAGGATAAGTAACAAGGAGCTATGGCAGAGAGCCAGTTAGGAGCCTATTACCCAACAAATATTCAGAAGGGAATATAGGTAGACTGGAAATACTCTGAGGAGACTGTCGAGTGATACCATATGCCAAGCCCTCAAGTGGAGCCCGAATCGGAAGCGACGAGTAGGATGTGACCCAAGGGTGATATGAAGGGGATTATATACAGAGTAAATGAAAGCTTGTAGGTATTTGGGAACCCTGCTAAGAACGGTGACAAAGAACAGAATACAACAGAGATAAGGTGCTGAAGTCCCATTTCCCTCCCAGAACCCAAGAAATAAATAATAATACTGAGTTGTGATTTACGGAGCAGAAATGCCCTGTGAATAATAATTGTTTAAAACAGTGACTGTCTCATTTTAAAGAATGTTAATTAATATTCACTGTATGGCAGAGGAAACTGTTAGTTAGTTAAATATGTCTAGTCAATCTACTTTTCCGAGAACTCAAGGATAAAATTTAAACTATGCACAGCTAATTTTTCCAGATTAGCTCTAATCTACTTATTCAGCAGAATACCAATTTGTGCAAAGGAGATGTAGTCAATAAACAACTGATTCATACAGTTTTGTCTAACCGTATGTGAATGATGGTCAACAAACAACCTTGTTGTTTTACATTATTTCGTGTTTGCTAATGACTTTCATTTCTAACAGATTTCCAAGTTGTCAGCTTACTTTGTTTCTGTTTGTGGTTTTGAATTTCTCTTCACTTGACTTTTTAACTCTGACCCCAGAAGAGTCGCTCAGAACCAGCATCATTTTTCACAAATATAACCAGATTTGTTATGTGTTTATTCAAAAGAAGGATTTGTTCATCATTTAATTAGCTCAAAGGTGATTTAATCTGTTATACGTATTTTTATTTCATATTCAGCATAAGTAGATACTATCTACTGATTTTTCCAAGCAGTAATGGAAACTCTATCTGCTATTCCATTCACACTTCTATAAATATTTCGTTTAAATTGCTGCAAATCGACATTATTCATTGAGATTCAGTAATTTTTTCTTGAAACTCGTTACTTTACTAACAAGGATTTAATGGTTAAATTATTTTCAGGGTGAACATTTATTGGCGAATGACATTTTTGAAGTACAGTCTCAGTTGTTGGCTATCACTCAGGCTTGTCACTTTGAAAACAGTAAGTCTTTTAAAAACTAGATTAACGTGATGTTTTATAACAGTGAATACGCAACCTATTGGTATCCGGTCTGTTGATAGATTCTTTAAATAAATCCTGTTACGAATATAACTTCATTTAAATATTGGTTTATAGGGATTTGATTGATTGGTTACAGGACTTCATCGTGAGCTGACATCGTTTAGAGAACCATTGGAAAAACGTTGAGTACTGGACAGCTGTTTCGTCAGCCTGGTTTGGGACTCTTCACAGTGCGCATCCACCATCAGGGTTCGAACCCAGGACTTTCTGGTTAAAAGGCGAGCTCGTAGACCATTCAGCCACTGGGACCTGACCCAACAGTTCATGAATTCTAACTTCTGCCAAAACACGATACAGTGCGACCACTAACCTATGTCTTCGGAGAGTATTTGCCCTCACGCTCTCATGGGCTGAATGGTCTACGAGCTTGTCTTGCAACCAGAAGGTCCTGGGTTCGAGCTCAGGAGGTGCTTCCTGATGAAGAGTCCCAAACTGAGAAGAAACAGCTGTCCACTACTCAACGCTTTTCCAATGGTTCTCTAACCGATGTCAGCTTATGATGAAATCCTGTAACCAATAAGTGCATTTACTTCGTTGGAGTATGTATGACGTTCAGGCTATTGTGAAACCACAGCCTTTATTATTGTTAATCCTAACTCGATATTGAATATCACATTCAATCTGATGATTGTAGTGAAAATGCGTACATATTTAGCAATATATACGTCTCATTTTTACTAAATTAGATTTTGATTTAAACCAGGAACTGATATTTATTAGAGAACCATTGAAAACCAGGTAGTGCTAGACAGCTGTTTCTTACATGACCCCATGGATACGTACTGCTAAATAGTCCTAAACTAAGACGAAACGGCTGTCTACTATTGCCCAGTCTTCATTGGTTCTCTAAACGATGTTAATTTGCAATCTCACTTAAAACCAGTCAAAACCCTCCAAAACTATACTTGAAAATAAATTAGGTTTTAATCCATCATATAAATAGATGTATAATCAATGTTTAAATCACAAATTTTGACTGAGTTTATAAATGGGTAGTTTCGTTGAGACTAATAGTAGAGTGACAGTGACTTATTAAAGCCTTGATTTCGTTTATTTCCAAAAATTTGTTTGGCATTTGATTTTACAACTAGGCATGTATTTCTGTATACAAGTTCTTCTTCATATTTACAGATAACGTTGACTTGTACAAACTGTTGGGCAAATTGGAATCAGCCAGCCACAATGAACGAATTAATCGAATAAAAGGCATTTTATCTAGATTGATGGATTTCCTACACAATAGCAATTTCAAATCTTTTAATTTAGGAAAATTTTTGGCCTCCTTTCGTTTTGTGGAAATTCAGAAGCGTATTAAAAGTATGCATACTGAATGCTGTTCAGTAATATTCATGTATCTTGTTTTATTTTTGTAATGAATCTATTCTGTAGAAATATTTGCCTTCTAAAGCCTACAGTTAAGAGATCAGAGTCCGACAGCTGATAAATATTCAAATCTAGAGTATTACACTTTAAATCATGGAAACTAGTAGTTTTTTTCCTCTCTGACTATTTATGCCACTGTCAGCTTGGCGGTGTTCCTACTTGCTTCTATGAAAAAATATTGAAGTTTTAAGAATTTACAGGTTCTGAACAATAATATTTTTGACGTTTAGCTTTACTCAAGTATTAGTTTGCAGGGATTTGACTGATTGGTTACAGGATTTCATCATGGGCTGACATCGGTTAGAAGACCATTGGAAAACCTGCGAGTACCGGACAGCTGTTTCTTCAGCCTAGTTTGGGACTCTTCATCAGTACGCACCCGCAGGGGTTCGAACCCATGACTTTCTGGTTACAAGGCAAGCTCGTAGACCATTAAGCCACTGGGAACCGATCCATTACCAGTTCAAAATGCAAGATGCGTTCTTGACTCGTTGGTCTTCATACTGTACAACAACTCTTTAATTTCGTTCCTTGTAACAATGTTTTTCAGAACAACTCAATTATATTCTGTATAAATGAAATGGAATATTTGCTTCAACCAGTACTATCATGATCCGCGAAGAATTTTCAAATTACTGGCTTAAGTTATCAGTTCCTGAGTGCCACTAAGAATAAAACTAACTACATATTTCAGTTATGATATGAAAAGGTTTAAGTCAATATACTTACCTATGACATGCCAGCTGGGAGACAATAGGCATAAAAGTGGTACTTTAGTGAACAAACATTGCTTTAAAATTAGAAACTATTCTACAGAAATTAATGGAGATCTTCACAGTTTCGATAATGACAATTTGTAAACACGTCTGCACTTTTTCCAAAAAGCTGCTATCCATGTGATAGAAAGTCTCCCATTCCTGCCATCCTAGCCAAGCAGTCTACACTTTATCACATGTCTTATATCAGTAGCCAGAGTCTTGATGAACTAGTAATACATTTTGGTCTAATCACCTTTAACTCTTCGGTAAAACAGTTTCTACCTCCGCTAACAGTGCTGGTCTAGAAAGACGATGATTCAGCATGCATACAACATATTTCAAACACCTCAGTCGATGCAGTTTCATAAACTTACCGGTCTACCTACCCTCCTTACAAAACACTCCATTACTAACCTTAGTATTAATTACCATGTCTCTGCACCCAAAAAGATGCAATTTTTTTGTTGCTTTCACACTTAGCAGAAGTAAATTAGGATGAAGTGAACTGCTGTACACTACACATGCAGTCTGGTGAGTAGACTGATTTCTTGTCTGTCCTAAGCATAATGTAATTCTATAGATTCCAGGTAGGTAAGCCTTAAATATCTATGCTGAGACTTATAAATTAGTCAATTAAGGCTGATTCAGCTTCCTAAATAAATGAAGTGAACGACTCATTTGATCGATATAAGAGCTATAAGTAATACTTTTGATAATAATTACCATTTCATGGCTAAGTTTAAATTCTTTTTTTTCTTTTATAGCTAGCTGAAGAAACTTTGATTTTCTCAAGACTTGGATGAGATTTGTACCGAACTTTGACAGAGAAAATCACACAACCATTATATTTATTCTGCTCATACGTTTATCTTGTGATATAAAGTTCCTTGTCTATGGTACATTGATTTGAATATAATCTAAGTTTGTTACTTGTTATTCTACCTCATAGCATTACTAATACAATATTGTTGTCAAAAGAGCCTATTATGCATTGAAAAGGAGTAAACTGTGACATAAAATGCTCCTACTCAAACAATTACATAATTTAAAACAGAAGAATTCTCTTTTCATTATTACTGTCAAGTGTGATGAAGAAAGTACGAATCTGGGTTCTCCTGTGTTATTATATTTGTCACTATTAGTACTGTTGTGAAATGCTCTACTCATATAAAAATACATTAGGAATGTAAACTGAGGAAGAAACAAGAAATAATAGAACGAAATACTAATGGCAAACACAAAAGGAGCAACAGAGGATAACTCAGTTGTAAACTAGAAAGAAGACACTATTTTCACTAACTGGGTTGAATGCAATTTTTTAAGATTTTATCCGTATTAATTGTGATTTGTCCGAATTAGTATCTTTTTTTCTCGCCTTTACTGTATTATTTATTATAGGTGTCATGAATTTATTTATATTTATAGGAAGCTATCCTAGAAATCGACAACTTTCATAAATGTAATGCACCATATTTAGGAAATACATAGACAATATAAAAGGAGGTAGTAATTAGGTTTAGCAGGTTAGGTGATAAAATAATAAGTAATTTTTAGTTGTTAATAAAACTAGAGATGTGAAATTTGTAATATTGAACAAAATCTTCATAGCAGAAAGAACAAATTGGGTGAATGTGTTAATGAAACCAATGGAAGGTAATTAAACAGTGGAGTTTGTCTTGTTTGTCGTTCTTATTTTCCTATACGTTCCCAGTGGAACATAGGGCTTCAAGCTAGAGCCTTGAAGTTTCAGTAGAAGTGGTGTTTATTTTTTTACGGGATGGGGTTGCTAGCCTCATGCCCAACCTTCCGTCTTTACCAGTCTTATTACTGGCTTAGTGAGGTAAAGGAGTGAGTCGGTCGGGGATCGAACCCCGAACCACCTGTATGGTTGGGAAGCATTCTACTGCTGTGCCACCGGCGCGGTGGAGTTTGCAAGATTGTTATGTAAAGACATGTAAAAATTATATTTGTATAAATCTCAGCGAAGCTGAAATGAATACTTCCAACATAGAGATAATGATTATTATATTTATTACTATAATGATTCCTTGTCACAAAGAAACAGCAGACAAAATAAGGCGAATCCTTAGCTAACATGACATTAGTGAATTTTCGTGCAACGAACGCCTTCCACTCATTACTAGTAAGGGTTAAAGACAAAATAGAAGAAGATAACGAACAGAACAGCGTATACCAAATAAAATGTGGAGATTGTGCTGCTATATTCGTAAGGAAAAATTCCAAGCAGGCAAATGTAACAGTAAAAGAGTATTTCCAAAGACCTCTGTAGGTTTGAAGAAGCTAGAATAGAAATCAGGAAATGCACTACACTCTATAGAAATGGGACACAAGATCGATTTTGATAAGACCAAGATTCTACAGAAGGGTTTCGGTACATAAAAAGAAAGACTGACTGCAGAGGCCTTACATACACATATGAATCCCGAACGTTTGAACAGAAATGACGGTGTGATGTTAGCTGATTCGTGACAAATCATGATTAATAAATAAAATGGATATGCATCACTAATTCTCATGCCTAATCTATTATCCTGATGATATGTATGTTCTTGCTGATATACTAACACATTATATACAGCTGTTTTCCCATTAACAGACATTATTATATATCATATACATATTTTTCTAATTCAGATTTCTGTGACCATGATATTTATCAGAACATTGTCTTTAAAGACTGATGTAAAAGTGCACCCTGTTTACAGTGTATAACAAAAGAGACTAATGATAAGTTTGTGTAAACATACGGTCTAATCTTAACAACAGTTCATACCATTTTGTCTTTTGACATCATCCAGAAAGCTTAAGAGCACTGGATAGCTCCTATGTCATCGTTTGGAGGTTTCCAACAATGAATACCCACAACTGTGTTAAGGAATGAACCTGGGATCATCAAGTTGTGGGGCGAAGACGTTACCGTTTTGGTTACTGACCTGAAGTTGAATGACCTATCACCTGCTGCTTTAACCAAGTTACATCATATTACCATCATTTTTTTCTAGTTCGTAACTTCTTTTCAACCTATATCATTGAGACTTCGTGAAATCCGGTTGAGACAAATCATTAATCAGCAGTGAACTGGAATTCAGCCTCTGAGTGTACGATCTGTTTGTTGATGAGTAAAACTTATACAGTTATCAACATTTTTTTCAAAAGCTGATTACTGATACACATTTAGATGCAGTGGGGGTAGTAATTATCCCTTTGCGTGCTTTTGTTAGTTAATTACTATGTATAAGTCTGTCCCCCACTTAATTAGCACTATATCAACAGATCGGTGGAGCGCAGTTTTCCTATAAAAATTTATTTGTCTAACTACATTTTCAATGTTTCTTTCAAAGGAGTCCTACTCAGTCTCCCGTTTCTCTGGTTAGTTTGTCTATAAAAGTTAAGAATTAGTAGTATTTACAGAACATTATAAAGATGGCGAATAGGTGTGCTTTTTGACTGGTAGAACTTTAATTCAACAGGCAATGATTTTTGCGAGATTTAGGAAGCCTGTTAATATCCAGTTTGGTGGAAAGCAATTAAAATAGTACAGTCGTCTAAACGCAAATTAACACACTGCTTATGAAAAGGCTTTGAAGCTTAGTGATCACAGGGAACATGTTAGACGAAAACAGGAAGTGAATCTAAAATAGTTTGGAAGCTCTCCTAGACTGTCAAAGATGTCAACAGCAAGAGACTTTGTGTCAGTGAGATCGTCTGTAAAATAGATAACATACCACTCAGAATTATTCAGAGATACCTGAATCACTCATCACAATACCTCTAAAATCCACTTAGATGAAATACATTGCTGGAATTCTGTAGCCTAGAAAGTAAATCTTTATAGCTGATTAATATCAAACTGTCTAATACTGAGCTTTGGAAGAAACTCAAAGTGCTGAAATGACATGAGGCGCTTGGTCAATGCAACCTACTCTGAAGTTCTGCAAAATAAGGGCGGATTGTATTCAGAAAACTGGTCAGATTACTTCAGATCTTATGAGAGTGTTCCATCACTCTGAAATGAATCTACCACAATGTCAATTTCTAAAAAGGCTTCTCTTAAACGTAGTAACCACTACTGACACTGAAAGTATTAGCTTATTTAATACATTAAAAACTATACGACAGATGATTTTCAAAAATGAGACCGGATTGATTTCAGTCTTTGTACGTATTCATCAAGTGTTGATGCCCACCTGGTTGCTTGAACACTGTCGTATGTACAAGAAGCTAATAAACGTCGTACTTTGTGACGTTAGCACTACCTTTTGTCAGTAAACAGGATAGATCTTTGAAGTTATCTGTTAAAGAATGGTGTCACTAGGATACTTATCAATACCCTGAATACTGTCCATGAAGACGACTCACATAGAATAAGGATACAGAACAAACTTTCATTACTACTTCAAACAAAACCTGGAGGTGGTTTTCCTTATTTCACCACTTCTTATCTGTATTTCACCTTCAAAGTGTGACGTGTTTTTTCAAAGAAGGGCAGAAGCTTATACCGTCATGAACTGTAGAGAGTAAACCGTTAAAAGTGGTTGAAAATTTCATACATCTAAGTTATCTTCAGTCAAATTTGGACGTTCAAAGTGGCATACGCCAATTAGGTCAACATCAAATGCTTTCTTCACCTTATTTAGAGTAAAAGTAAGAATAAGTCAGTAAGTTTGCAGCCCTTCGGTAACTTCACTTAAGCTTTATACCGTATTGTAATCTAGAATTTCCTGTAATTTGGGCTTTCCGTCTTCGTTGTTTCAGTTGGATTGTTATACCTGTTAGGAGAGGTTGAAGATTGACGTTAATTAATCATGTCATCCAGAGACATTGGATCCGGTAGCTTCGATTTGTGTTATGAATTTTGCCCCATGGTTAAAGTAAACAGGGAAATAACTGTCCGAAAGAATGTCTGGGATTAGCGGGTACTAGTCCATTGCTACTCAATCTGTGACTTTTGACAGGTTAAATCACTCACTATCGCAAGACTTCATTAGATTTGCTTCAGGAGCGACCACGCCTTACTGATTTCTCCTACTGTCGGAAATAATGAGTGAGTTTTGCAAACACAGCATTCCAGAAAAGTGTAACAGTTCAATCCACGCCGCCTCATGTAACCCACAAAGGGAGAGAAAAATCAAGGGAATTATAATGAACGGAAATGTATGGGAGAAAATGTAATCACGTGAAGAATAATCAGAATCTGATGGATCTAGGAGTTCATAAAGAGTAAGTGCATCTGCGCCATTGAGAATATTTTAAGCCAAATCACCAACAATCCCAAGTCATGGGTCATTAGGCTGCCAAGCAACTCAGCCAGACACTTCACAACTTCTTGTGTGGCTCTAATCAAAAGTGAAAGACCCCATGGTTTGATGCCATGCGTTGATTCAATCATCCCTAACTCTTTTACAACCTAATCCTTTGTCAGCTAACATTGCACGACGGGGAAGCCAATGCACTATCATGTATAGCACGTGTTTCAGCCATCTCAATTAGTGAAGATTCATAACCTCATTAACTGACTTCCCCTCCTTAACCAACACTTTTTACGTCTACCTTCAATATTGGTCACCATATTGTACCAGTTAACTCGGGAGACAGAATGCAAACACCTGTAATCAAAGAGAAGTAGCATTTTCATGTTTCGCATCTTCAGCAGTCATGTCTTGTAGACATAGAAAAAGAGAAGGAGGCTTCTCAGCATTACATACGTCCGCTGATGGGCAGCTGAATATCGTGTCTACGTCAAAAATGACA